TTTCTTTATACTAAAAACAAAGGGTCTTGGCCTTTCCCTCAAAATGTGTTTGCCTTACTGAATTGTGGAACAGACAATGCAAAGGAGGGTGAATACTTCACTTTGCAACACACATCGGCTGATGTGGAGGAAGTGGGACATTTCTTCTCTTGGGAGCCACATTCCTCAGAGAATAATGTGTAGCAGTCTGAAATAGATGAAACGTAAGTAGTAATACGCCTAGAGATGAACATGGGTGGGCCCCTTTTTATCTTCTGACACTTAACTTCTGGCTTTTTTTATCTGTATTCCCATTCCCAAACAAGACAGATTACTCTTGTGAGAAATCTGAGGCACAATAAATCATTTAACTGAGGTCTAAATTCTGAGGTGTATGTAGGTTGAAGGTCAGATATTCCTCACCTCCTGGTCTGAGTTGAAACTAAAAAAGAGAAGGGATGGATAAACTAAATCAGTCTCCCAGCCAGTGTGAGTGGCATTTTGTAATGCTCACTCCTTCCCGAATGCTTTGTTTTGCTGTAGTCTCTTCAACTGAATCAGTCCCTTGGAAAGGCCATTTTAATTTTTAGATGTGACTTATCCTATATATCCTACTCTGCCCTAAATATCTTGATGAGCTGTTGGCTCTCTCAGCTGAGAACTTTGATATATCTGTATGTGTGAAAGTATGCAATGGGGAAATAATAGGTTAGAGATTGGTTCTTTTTGGCCTGTTGCTCCTACCTATCAGTTGGTATCTCAGCCTTTCTTGAACTGGTATCCTCTGGATGTAATGGTATTACACTTCCCATTGTCTACAGCAGAGGAGCATATCTTTTTGGGATCAAGGGCCAAAGCCTTTGAGCCTTGAGTGGTGTTCCAAAAAATATGCCACACTAGGACAAAGAAGTGATGCCACCAAGGCAGACAGTGTTTGGTTTTATTTCACTTTACTTAATATGTCTGCTCATGTATTTAATAACTTCATTATTTTCAATGTGTTTTGAGGACTACAATATTCAAGGTTTCTGAGACCCACAAATTATTTGGTTGTATATTTCTAGTCTAAATATGTTGACTGGAGCTGTAATCAATACTGTGTATCTGGGATGCAGAAAGGAAAGCTAGTTATGCATTAATAATTCAGTTGTAAAAGTGAGTCAGCTATAAAAGTGAGTCCTGTGCAGCAGCACATCTCTCCCTTTAGCTCAGCAGGCTTATAATGGTGGATCTGGTCATGACAATTGTGTGAGGCTCTTGTCATGTACAATAAAGGACAGTGTATTTGGTTACATTACTTTCTCTCATGTCTGTCTATGCCATCTGCCCCTTTCAAAATGTCTTATAAGTCTATATTATTTATTAAAATTTCTCACTGCCCTGACATTCTTATAAAGAAAGGGTAAATTCTGGTATAAGGCCAGATAAAAGCCACAGTGTAAAGCATATGTGTAATTCATTTTATTTCTTCCACACACAAGGCACAAGCAGCTAGTTACAGAAGTTTTGTACTGTTGTACTATGCATCAGCCCCAGAAGAAAGGGTGTTGAAGCATGTCCTTGCCAGGGTCCATCCACATTCAAGGGATAGTGAAAAAAGCAGACGTGCATAAAGATAAATGCTAAGATTCTGATAAATATAGATGGGCTTCCACAGAAACTGATAATCTAGTGTAAAGTGCAGATCTAATCAGGAGGTGTTATGTGATAGGTTCTCTGGCCTGGTCCTTACATAATGTACATAAATTAACTGGGAATTGATGGCAAAATACTAGGGAGCCTCCTTCCTGCTGGATTGAAAATGATTGCTCAGAGTGAGGTGGGGCAACCTAGAAAAAGTTAGGTTTAATTGAAGTTAATAACTGGTATCCGTGCTGTAGTTTCTATTGTGATAAGAATGAATTTTAACTTAACAACAGTGTTAACAAATTTAGGAGTGCCAGATGTAACTGAGCAGCCAGGATTGTATGATCTCCAGTGGGCCTGAAGTTACTATTTGGCCCAATGCTGGTCTAAATAGAAGTTGGGTTAGAGCTTTTGCCTGAAAAAGTTTGATGACAGCAGGCAACAAAAACTACTGAATATATGATATCACAAAATGGCTGAGATACTCCTTGTCTAAGATGACTAATATAAATTGCATGAGTGATTCTTCTTGCTTTAAATGCAACCCCAATCTATTTGAAAGTGCTCAATTATATATTTGTTGATAGTCCATCTATAGGCTGTGGGTCTTTTAGGGAAAATCATTTTCTTGGGTTTTTTTTTTTTTTTTTGATAATTGATCAACTGTTTCTCTTGGCAATGTTGAACCAAGGCAGTGAATGCCCTCTTCAGACATGCCTTAAGAATAGAGTAAGAGCAGATCTCCATATAGCAAAATTGGGAGATGTCTTTTTGTCAATTTAGGGGCACAATTGTGCATTGTCTTTAATCATTGAATCAAAAAATATAGAAGTTGAACAGAGTTGGAGCTCGTATATGATATTTTATGTGGAGAACTGTCTTGCTGATCTGCAAGAAAGATCCCTCATGCAGCAATGAGCAGCAGAAAACATTTAGCAATTGTTGAGTTATGTAGCTTGGTCCATAATAAACTCTGCTATATTGAATCAGAAGCCACCCTGAAATTAATAAAGATGCATAAAAGTGACTCATGGAGCAAAATATATATTTTTTTCAGTTTAGTCTGAAACTAATTGGTCTACCTCAGGGGTGTCAAACTGCTGGCCCACGGACCGGACGCGTCACATGGAAGCCGCACCCACCCCATTGCTGGCAATGGCAAAACCGTCCCGATATGTTGCGTGACGTCACATGACATTGCGAGTTTGACATGTCTGTTCTACCTGATCTAAAACCAGTTTATTCTTCCTTTAGGATGTTATCTTGGATAATCCAGTCCTTCAACATTGTAGTTGGAGTATGACATCATTTTACTAGAGGTGACATGGATGTCGTTTGGCCACCATTTATTTCTCCCTTTTCTTCAGAGCTATGCCAAGCTGACCTTTTACAGAAAAAAAAAAACCTCAATGCTGTTCTTGATGGAGGAAGAGAGGCCAGCAGTAGCATCCATGTGCATGAGAACCCAAATACGATTGTGTATTTTTAGATTCTTTAATAGAATAACACAGTTGGAAAGTACCTTGGAGGTCTTCTAGTACAAGCCCCTGCTCAAGCAATAAACCCTATACCATTCAGGATAAATGGCTGTCCAATCTTTTCTTTAAAATCTCCAATGATGGAGGCAAGCTGTTACACTGATTGTTCTCACTGATGGGAAATTTAGTTCCAGGCTAGACTCTCCTTGATCCATTACTTCTTGTCCTGCCCTCAGATGCTCTGGAGACTAAGTTGATCCCTCTTCAATGTGAAGTCCCTCAAATATTGGAAGACTGCTATCGTGTCACTCCTTGTCCTTCTTTTTGTTAGACATAACTTCTTCCTACAACTGTTCATATGTTTTAGCCTCCAGCCCCTAAATCATATTTGTTTCTCTCTGCACTCTTTCCAGAGTCTTAACCCCTTTTTTGTATTGTGACCAGAACTGAATGTAGTATTCCAAGTATGGTCTTAACCAATGCACTATAAAGTGATACTAACACTTCACACAATCTTGATACTACCTCCCTGTTGAGGCAGCATAGGACTGATTGGTTTTTTTTGGGCTACTGCAGAACACTGCTGGCTCATACTTGAAAAGTTTGTCCACAGGATTGTTAGATCCCTCTCACAGCTATTAAATCAGGTATCACCTTCTCTATTGTGCATTTGGTTTTTCTTACCTAAAACCTTACTTTTCTCACCCTGAACTGCATTTTGTTGGCTAAGGCCCAGTGTCCAGGTTTGTCAAGATCTTTCTGGATCTTGAGCCTGTCTTCTAAAGTATTGGCTATACCCCATCCCCCAAGCTTAGTGATAATAGTCTACAAATTTGATGAGTTCCCCTTCTATCTATCTAAATCATTTGGGCCTAAAACCTTGGAACACTCAACTACATGCTTCCCTCCAGGCAGATGTAGTTCCTTTGAGAATTACATGTTGAGCCTGGTTGATCAGCCAGCTACAAATCCATCTGGTTGTGATGCTATCTATGCCATATTTTTTTATTAATCTTACCAAGAAATAGGTTATAGTTCACGCTATCAAATGTCTTACTGAAGTCCAAGTATGTCTACAGCATTTCACTGATTCAGTAATTTAGTCATTTTGTCAAAGAACGCAATAAGGTTTGTCTGGCTGATCTGTTTTTGACAAACCCATATTGGCTTCTAGTAATAGCTTTGCTTGTTTCTAGGTGTTCACAGATCTGTTGCTTGGTTATCTTTTCCAGGTATTGATGTCAGGCTGTTTAGTTTCTTGGATCAACTTTTCCCCCTTTTTTGAAGATGGGAACCACATCAGCTCTTTTCCAGTTCTCTGGTAGTTTCCTAGTACTTGGAGGATCTTTGAAAGATATGGTTCAGTAGTTCCGAGATCACATCTACTAGCTCCTTCAGAACTCTGGGATGTAATTCATCTGTTTTGTTTTTTTTAATTTGTACTCATCTAGCATGGATAGGTGATGCCTTTCCATTTTCTTGCTTATTTTAACTTGTATTCCTATCCTAATCTGTCTTTTAGAATACTGCTATTTTTTTCTTTAGTCTGAGCACCTTCCGGAATTGGTCCCATCTATCTCCCAATTCTAGCAGAGAACAGCTACTCTACCATGAGTTGCAGGAATCTGGATGGCACCAGTTTCCTATATTGTTCAGCTGTTTGCTGGCCAGCAACAGTAGCCTTGACTCAATGCACAAAGTGCAAACTTTTCGCCACAGATCATTCATTTTGTTGTTTTCTGGGTGCAAGTATTCTAGCAGTTTCTTGTTTGTGAGAGGTACCTCTGTCTCTAGCCCTCTTGTAGATGTAGAACTCTTCCTAAATAGAGAGTTTGGGCTCATACTTGAGAAATATTTGTGCTACTCCCTCCAGACTCCCAATATTGGCAATATCCTCCTTTTCTGGCAGTTGGAACAGCTTAACTATAGCTCTCTAAAAAGGAACAAAACTTGCCAAATCATAATTCTGAATTATTAAAAAAAATATTTTTACAATGGAGCCATTTCATAATTATAGTTTCTTACCAAAGGAAAAAGAAATTTTATAGAGTAGGGGGATTAGCTCAAATGGTTATCGCGCTCGCTTAGCATGCGAGAGGTAGCAGGATCGATGCCCGCATCCTCCAGTTTGGATTTTGATGCTGTTTAAAGGGAAACACCTCCCCCCCTCAAAAAAATCTCAAGGTCTTCCGTTTTGAGGCAGCGCTTTCTGCTTATTAATGGTCTAATTCTTTTTTTTTTACTACAACTTTTTACGGCCCTTCAATCCAGTTCCCAAAGGGACACGCTCTTCGAGGACGAGGATGGGAGGGCTATGGAAAAATCAGCTCTACAGTACATCCGGAGCAACGAACGGGAGGGGATCCCAAGAATGAGCGACTTTTCAGAAGGCAAAGAGGAGGAGGATTGTAGCCTGAGGTAAACTTTAAAATTTTAAATCCTTGAAATCTTCCTTGTGCGATCCAGGAGGTATATCTCTCGGGGCTTGTTTCTGCTGAAGCCAAAAACCTCGCTTGCCCTGCCTTTAGGACTTTCTGAGTGCAGCGGAAGATGCTCCATTGCGTTTCTGAAAGCGACCCGGAATAACACACGGCGCAGCTCCAAGGAAGCCGGATGCCACTGAGCCGCTGCGGGGAACAGCTGAACGGCTTGTTGAGGCTGCGATGAGGACGCTTTTCGCTGGCCATCGGCGGTCGACGACTGGTTCGATCTGTTTTGCCCGTTGCCCCCGGCCACTGAATATATATTTTTCACTGCATTTGCATCATCTCCCATTCTGCACACCGCTGTCCCTGCGGGCTTGGACCAGCGGGAATGCCTTTCCGACATCGTTCCCAGGCGAGCCCCACGATTCGGGCCTTCCTTGAAAGCATCTCACAAGCTACAGAGAACCTAAATCGAAGTACCCCAGCCACGCCCACTCGTGAGATTCGCCTATGGCTTCGGGTCACCTACTTTAAAAACGAAGACGACTTAATTGGCGGCGCTCCCGCCCCGTCGGCTACCATAGCAACCAAACAGGCGTGTCACCAGGGGAGGGAGGCGGCTAGCCAATGGTGCATCGAGTTGCTATGGAGAGGTTCAGCAGACCAATAGGGAGCTGGATTGCTCCAGCCGAAGAAGCATAGCCTATGATAAAAAACGTTGTTATTGTCAGAGCAACCGGCCGAAGGTAGGGCTGGCCTGGCCCGGTGCCTCTGGCGGCGGCGACGGAAGCAGGTTGGTCGATTTGAGGGGAGAAAGGAGGAGAGTGGGTCGCGCTGGGGCGATAGCTGCATCCGTTTTACTCTCTTGTTCTCACGTGTGTGTATGTGTGTGTGTCCAGTATATAAAATTAAAAAATAGGAGTTTATGGACCTTCCCTTCATTGCCTCTCCATCGAACCTTCGGTTCCGGAAAGGGGGACGGAAAAAATAAAGGGGACAGTAAAATAATGGCCTTTCTGCGTCTACCTGGCTGACTCCATGTGGCAGGCGGCCCCTACGAACGGGAATGAAATGGAGGGGGCGTGACGCTCAGGTATCCAACTGAGCCATTAGGCAAAAGATAGTAACAGCCCTTCGGATTAATCTGTCTCCTCCCACTGTGACTAAAAACATGCTCAGACCTTGTTGTTTTTTACGCCTTTTACTCCACTATATCCGTTATGTAGTTTTCTACTATAGAAATATTCTTCAGGAATGGCCTGCCCCAGTATTAGCACAATAACAGTCACTCATTTCTAGCTCCCTGGATAATCAATATTATCCAGAGTAATATTGTGCCTGGTTCACACAATTAACCAATTATGGCTTGATGCAAGGAGTGAACTGAGTCTTGATATTATTCAAACTATGGGATAATTTATTGCATACTATGTTGTGTGAATTCAAGTTAAACATGTGTAACTCAGCCTGGCTGGGGTACTGGAGAAAATATATAACCATTGTGATTAATAGATCAGCAATTCTTGTACTTTTAATTATGTGCATTTATTTGTTTGCTTTATACCTGCTTTTCATTTGAAAGCTTAAGGTGTACATGTAGCATTTCCCCCTCTTAACCCCCCCTCCCCGCAACCTAGTGAGATTGGGCTGAGAAATTGTGACTGTCCCAAACTCACCTAGTGTCTTCCCAAGTACCAGTCCAATACTTTCATCACTACATCTCACTGGCTGTCTTATATGAAAGTGAGAAAAATGTCCAAGGACATTTTCTTAAACTACCACATTCCCCTTATTTACTTTTTTTATAAAGTAAAAATTCTGCAAATATTGCAAACTTTTCTAACTATATTTACTTCAGTTTGATAAGTTTTTGTTTTCCTTTATGCCAAATGTTCCAAATATCAGTCAAGGCATGGTATTTACAGTAACCTGAATTTTGCAAGTGTTTCCATTACTTTTTTTGTTACACTTATTTCCCAAACCCCCAATTGTTTAAAAATGCAGATTTTGCATGTGAGTGCTCTGTAGACCTACGTAAAGTTAGTAGTTTGGCAGCTTTGGCAGCTTTCTTCATTTCTAACCAATACATTCCTGATGTACATTGTATCAATTATTTCAACTGAGGTGTTTACAAAAACCTCTTTATTATTAATTACATATCCAGAACCCTATGATATATATGCAGATTTAAGTTTTTTGTCTCTAGATACAGGAATATTTTTAAATTGTACATCATCTTGGTGTATTTTACAAACAGCATGCTAAAAATACTAATATAATTAGTTTAAATACTCCTTCTCTTAGTGCAACTAAATCACAATTTTCTTTGGTATCTGTTTCCACTCTTAAACCATTCTGTGACATTTACAAATTTAGCCCTTCCTAACTCTTCATCTCCAGCTCTTGATTATTTATGAACTGGCCTGATACAGATCTATGGGTATCACGGTGTTTTATTACCTTCTTTTTGGTTATATATATATCTAGATGAACAGAAGACTTCTTACAGAACAGGATAGCAGTAAGGAAAATTCTGCACATAAAAATATTTGACAGACCAAAGCCCTCTTCACAAATAACTTTGATTTCAAAGCTAGCATTGTAAAGGGACCTGGAGCCTGACAGTCAGTTAAATCAAGTAGAGTAACCTGTATCAATCTGACTGGGGAGAGTTATGTCTCAAGTACGATATCCTCTTTGGTAAATGACCACAGACATGTAGATTATATTCAAGCTGCTAAAATTTGATATCTTTCCAAAGGCAGGTTTGGAGTCAACTTTCAATCATTTGGCAAAAATGATGTTGGTAGTCTGGATCGAATAAGAAAATGTTAAATGTGAAATTTGAATGCTATTCTTATAGGAACTTCAGAATATAGGTTTTGTGATCCAGTAGTTTGTTTTTATAAACTTGGGCTCAGTCAGTATTGACTGAAGAAGGGGTTTTTTTGTGTGTTCTTATTATGATATGATAGTAAGGAATTTTAGGTAAAAATGTGGCCATTCCATTTTGTTCTTTAGGAAATACTTCAAACAACATATTGGAGGAGGATGAAACCGCTCTGGTCACCGAGATTACGATGGAAATACGCTGTGGTGGCCTATTATTCAGCTCCAAATTCGACTCTGGCAATTTGGCTCATGTTGAGAAAGTGGAACACCAGGAAGGTGATGGTGACAACAGTTTGAACGGCAATAGCAGCATCAATACTTCTTCTGCCTCAGTGGTGTTTGGCAACTCCCTCCCCACTGCAGACTATGAATTCAATATGTGGACCAAGCCAGATTGTGGTGATACAGAATATGAGAATGGGAACAGGTAAAAACAACATCCAGGTTTCTATTATATCTGCTGATCGTAGGAATAGAGCTGTCAAGGAAGCCATTCCTAACCCTTTTTATCTCACAAGCTTTCTATCCTTTTCCATTTAATAATAGCAGAGTTGAACCTATCATCTGAGATCATTACTTTAGAAGCCTATTCTAAACAGATACCAGAACTTATCACTTTTAATTTGATTTATATATTGATAGATATATTTATGCCCAGAGACACATATATGTACACACATGCACGCATGTATACATTACATATATATATTTACTCTGAGGCATCACAATTTAAAATAGGCACAGGAAAATACCAGTGAAAAGGAAAATACAGGTCGGTAGACAGGAAAAGTAAATGACTTTCAGTTGGATATAAGGTAGTTTATTCTTTTAACAGAAAATTGGAGGTCAACTGTGAAAAAATATGTAGTCCATGACAGTTCCCAATTCCAAGTGTGCCTGGTCTTTCTGGGCAGAAATGGGAACTGAAGTGTAAATGATGGGGGCTGTTATCTAACTCGTCTTTGTCTTTCCCCTTCTTCCACAGATCCTGGTTTTACTTTAGTGTGAGGGGAGGAATGCCTGGCAAGTTGATCAAGATTCATATTGTGAATATGAACAAGCAGACCAAACTTTATTCCCAGGGAATGACACCCTTAGTCAAGACAGTACCTGTCAAGCCCCGTTGGGAACGCATTCGTGAGCGACCTTCCTTTGAGGTATCTGCATAACATGGTACTCTGAGGAAAGATGGGCTGAGGTTGGCCTTAAATGTACTATTGCATCCTGATGGCTTCCAGAAACAACATATGACATGAACGTGACTTTCTTAAATGTGGGGGTGGATGGAAAACTGAATTTATTTGAGCCACAATCAGCTTGGGGCTTCATAATAGAGGAATGGCAAAGACAGTATCTAATTATCAGAAAGGGGAGCCTTGAGGGTTGATTAAGAGATCCTGATACTATCTGCTTTGTGTTTCTATTGGACTGTTTCTTCCATGTTTCAAAAAGTTGGAATACATTAATTTATTCTCCCCTCTTCCATCTATCCCAGGATCCAATACCAGCTTGGCTTAATTTAAGGCTATTTGGTTGAGTCACAGATACGTGCTTATATGATTCTTCTTACTGCTTAACAATATAAGAAAATGCATGTGTGCTTACACTGCAGGATCCAAACTGGGTCGGTCACTGGGACCAGAGGTTTAGTTTTCTGAGCTTTTGGATTCATGCTGGAGCCCATTAATGAACTCTCTCCCCATAATTTTGGGCTATTCTGTGTGTAGTATTTATGTGGTACCTGGTTTTGTGTGGCCGGTAACAGCAGAGTTGAACCTATAATTTGAGATCATTACTTTAGAAGCCTATTCTGTTCATTATTTTAGAAGCCACACACAAGCAGGCATTTCATAAATACTATGCATAAAATAGCCCAAAGCACATATTCTGTTGAGAGAGAAATTCCCTGAAGATGGGCTTCAGCATGATTCCAAAAGCTTGGAAGACTAAGCCTCTGGTCCCGGTGACCGATTCAGACTGGATCCCGCAACATTATGCTGGGATATGTGTATTTGCCTTCATTTGTGTGCTTACACTGGCCAAAAGAATAAAGAACAGCCTATATATCATAGTTTTTCTAGGTTGTTATTTTAACATCATGGTGCAAACAATATTTTAGGCTTATTTGTCTAAAATATCACACCAGGTGGGTTGTGTTGGGACAGTAAAGTTGTCTGATCCAGATAATACTAAAAAACTAAGGTTTTGTGCAAACCAGAATTGAGCAGGCTGGGAAGACCCTAGTGTCTATCTGTGTCCTAAGTTGTCTGTAGTGCTTCAACTTGTACTGGAGATCATCCTTGGGCATTTTAACTCATGCAGATGGCAGAGACTCAGTTTGTCCTATCTTTTGTGCACCGATTCCTGGATTGTCGAGGAGCCACCACATACTTTGCCTTCTGCTATCCCTACTCATATACAGAATGCCAGGACATGCTGACACAGTTGGATGCCCACTTTGCAGAATGCAGACATCTCTCTCCTAGCAGGTAACTCTAGTTTTGATACACTGCTACCAGTCCCTTCCTAGCAAGTCTTATGTCCTATAGAGTCAGCTAGGAGAAATACTTTGTAAATTAAGCATATATATACAAATGATTGTTTACCTAGAGTTGCCTGAGTAAACAATGAGGAAAGAACCATTTGGGAACACAGTGGGTAACATTGTTCTGTTCAAACTGGGTCTTGGTGATATTCAAATCTTCCTCTATTAGTCCTAGGGCTTGATCACCAAGTTTAGGTTTGGTACCTTATATTTGTTTACTGTTGTGGGTTTCTAGTGTGCATGAAAATAGATTCTCTGTCCAAGCAACAGAGTTGTTATAGACTCTATTTTGTTATGTAAATCACTCATATCTCTTAGATTGTTTGTGTGAAGGCAGTTCTAACAAAATTTATAAATTGAATAAACAACTTGATACTGAATGCTAAGCTTTTTCCTATTTCCTATCCATTAGCACAGAAGAACTCTATTACAGTAATTCTCCTTAAATCCAGAACCTAAACTCAGATATGCAGATTTGTGCGAAATCAAAAAGAAATAATTAATACAAAATATCAGAAATGGACATCACCTTATAACATATGTAACCATAGTGTTGCTTGGCTTGGAATATCTCGCTCTCATTCAGATCCCAAGAAGAGCCACAAAGTGCCACCTGGAAAGTGCTTTTGTGTATATGTTTCTGGTTAATCTAGTAATTTTTTATTAATTAAGTTTTTCTGCTCATATGAATATCAAAAAGTGCCTCTCTTGAATCTAACCAAAGGTGCCTACAGCTTGGTGTTAGTTACAGTGAGTGGGAATGATTCAAATGGTTTCAGACAGATTTTTCCAGTTTTTTTGAAGTTGCTAAGGCTTTAATGTGGCATCTTCTTTATGCAAAACTTCTGCTGTATCAGTGACTTACAGTCCTGTTCCTGAATCACTATTTAAGAACTTTTTAACTCTAAAAGGCATCTCATGGCTTGGATCGTCAGTATTAAAAGTCCGAGTCTATTATAAAACCAGTTATAGAAGCAGGGCCATCTCTTCTCTAAATAGAGTGTGTGTCCCATAGAGTGTGGCTGTAGTGTTATTATTTATTCCTTTTATTTTCTTCTTTACTTTCCCCTTTTATTGGTGGTGATATTATTATTAGTAGTAGTAGTAATATTATTATAATCATCATCATTATCATCATCTGTTGCCTTGCATGTACACCAAGTGCATCTGTACCGGAGACGAATTCCTTGTGTGTCTAGTGTCAAATCACCCTTGGCCAATAAACTATTCAATTCAATTCAAATTAAATACAATACAGGTTCTAGTCAGAAATGAAGCTTTATTACAGAAAAGTTATGGCAGATCAGATTCATTTGTAATTATTAGCTGTATACATATAACAACAGCTCCAACTAGATCATTTAAAAAGCTAGTGATTGCATTGCTAAACTTGTTTCATTTTCCTTTGTTTATTGGTATTGTCCATTTAATTTAGTGTATCAGTTTATCCTGCAAATCCCCAAAATGGGTTAACTTAGTGACCAAATTAAATTTGTGTTGAGAGCCCAGCCCCAGAATATTCATGCAAAACCATGCCCTTGGTGGAAGAAGCCCCTTCTTAGAATGCCCTCTTTCTTATCGGACAGGACAGGTTTTCTGCTATTCATTGGGTTCTCTCCCATCTTTGTACTGAGGAATGATTGCCAAATACATTTTACAACTTTTTCCCAAAAAAAAAGTTTTCCCCATTTGCCCTCTTCTCTTTTTCTTGGCATTAAAACATATTTGCTTCAAAACATTTTGCTGGAGAGGAGTTTTACTTTTCTGTGTTTTTATCTGCGTTACTTTCTACTGTGATCATTTTCCTCTCTGTTGCATATTACATTAAAATAGTCTCATTATATTTTTACTGCTTCATTTTCTGTAGGATAATTTGGATACTATTAAATAATAAAAAAGCAAAAGTAGCTCTTTCGGAGTCCAATTAAAATTTTCTGTGATCCTACACCAATTCTCTAGGAAAGAGGATAAAGAAAATGGAATACCTAAATGGAAAGAAATTCCTCACCATATTAACCTTATTCTTTCCAACACATTTTGATAAAATTCTTGCCTTTTACTTGTTTTTTCTTATTTCTCTGTCTCTTTGGAAACACCTGGGCTTGCTTATTCAAAGAAGCTGGGGTGATAAGGTTGAATTAATGAAGAGGACTTGGCTGGGGGAATGGTCTGGAAAAGAAAAACTTAGCTAGACCCTTCTTTGCCCATCTAAACTAGTGTCCAACATTATGGCACAATTAGTCGGAGGGCAGGCGCAGACTCTAGAAAAGCTGAGGGGAAGCCGCGCCCCACCACCCACAGAACAAGAAAGTACCCTAGAGGAGGACGTGGAAAAGGGAAAAAGGAGGCGGCCCCACCCAGGGGTACACCGTAAGTGACTGCTTTGATTCCCTTGCCAGGCCTAGGTGATCTCAAGTGGGAGGTAGCTGAGGGGCAAGATTCTTCATCGGGCCCCCAGAATTTTTAAAGATCTAAATGGTCAGTTTTTTCCCTCTCTCATCTCTTCTAAAAATAAACGTATCTCAAAATGAGGCCCCATTGGAAGGCTGAGGCTACCAGAAAGTTCTTTTGGCCCTCTACTTCATATCAGTTTTCAGAACACCCGCTCAGGGAGTAGAGAACTTTGGGAATGGCTCATTATTGCACAAGGATAACAAGTTGGGCCAGATAGCTAAAATAATTCCGCTTGAGTGTTGGAATGATTCTTGGATCAAAGTCCAACAGAAAAAGGGACAGAAATGAGGAATGAAAACTAGCAATAGAGAGAATTCTCTAGAAGTTCCTTCCTCTTTTTTCCCAAAGTAAAAATCCTTAAAAGATTATTTTGGGGGGTTTCCTTCTGGCCTTGTGTAAAGTTCTTTCTGGGGAGGAGACAGAAGTCAGTATGAGGATCCTTGGACAGAATTAAAGGGTGGTGCTCTTGGAGTAAATGAGAAACTACACTACACTGAATTGACCTTCCTATTCTTTTAATCTCCAGCTATCTGGATGCCATCTATTATCATCGGGAATTGTTGTGCTATTCCCTGGATAAGCTACGTGTGGACTTGCTCACCATTACATCATGTCATGGCATGCAGGAGAAGCGGGAGGCTCGACTGGAAAAGTTATTCCCAGACAAGAACACACCCCGACCACACTGTTTTGTGGGAAAGAGAGTAAGTTAGTTGATGCATGTGAGAGGTAGAATACACAGCTGTGGAAGCTGCTTAACTGGCTGTAATGCAATAGGTTATTCAGAAAGACCCATGGGTCTACAACTGCTATGGATGAGATAGGAAGGCAGTTGTGACTGCCCGTTCCTTATTTCAGTGGGGGATAAACCATCAAGTGTCTTCTGACATTACCATGTCATTGCTTTGCCCACATCATTCACGATAATATAACACTTCTCCTTAGTTTGCTTCCTCATCTTGTTGCTCTTCTGTGATCTCATCTATTTTTTTTTTCTGATTTTTCATATTTCACATTGCTTTTTTGGCTCTAATTACCTCTTCCTTATTTAATTGAAAAATCTTCTTTGTAATTGCTTATTTATTTTTCTCTCATTTCTCTTTCACATTCTTTGTTCTTCTGGTGGTCTGTGAGTTTCTATTTGCTTTTTGAATGCCTGTTTTTGAAAACTATCCTTTTCAAATGATTTTCCCAATAATTTTAGGGCTCAAACTATTTCCTTTTGCTTCTCTCTTCCTCTTTTCTGTTTGTATCTTAGGGTGATCCTGAAGATAGGAGTTCTCCCTCTTTAATTTCTGGGATTTTCTCAACAGAAAAGCAGTACTGATTATAAATAATTATGTCATAAACAGATGGGAAACAAAATTATTTTCAAAGCTTACGGTCCTTAAGGAAAGTTAGAAAGCTTTTGATTTTGAAAGATCACGAATACTTTTGCACTTCTCCTCTTCCCGATCCCCTCACCCTGTGATAGGTATTCTTTCTGAGCAGCAGAGTACATCCTGGGGAAACACCCTCTAGTTTTGTGTTCAATGGATTCCTGGAATTCATACTGAGGGAGGAGGATCCTCGGGCCCAAATGCTGCGTCGTATGTTCATCTTTAAGCTCATCCCTATGCTAAATCCAGATGGGGTGATGCGAGGACACTATCGGTAAATATCCTGCAGACATGTAGGCTTTGGAGGATGGGTCTTGGACAGGAAGAAGCTCTGGTTCCCTGTGACTGATTGTAATTTATCCACATTTAGCTTCTACAGCAGATTACTATTGCTTGGAGGCTGAGAAAGAGCAACAGGCTAAGGCCAATAGATGTGGAGGGGGGGGGCTCCTCCCTAGAGTAGATCCTTGTTTTTCCGTTTTGCCTTCCTCCAGTTATAAGGGAATTGTAGATTCAGAACAAAGGCTTGAAATGTTCACATGAGCATGCTCTCAAAACAACAGCCAGTCCAAATCTCTGAGCCTGTGAGGCTGCCTAGACACTGATCAAATGAACAGAAAACTAGGATAGTTTGATGGTCAGCAGTGTCTGTTCCATTTCACAGATACATTGTAATTGCCTCCTAGCTCCATATGTGGAGGGGACAGGGGCTGCTTGGATCTCTTAATCTAGGATAAAAATTTAACTGAGCAGTCTGTAAATAATGTGGGACATGGCTGCAGAAGACAATAGTTGCAATTTCCCTTCCTTCACAAGTGGAAGAATGTCTTAATTTGTTTGCCACCTTCAGTTATTTGTAAAAATAATAAAAGCAGGAAATCAGATAGATAGATAGATAGATAGATAGATAGATAGATAGATAGATAGATAGATAGATAGATAGACAGAAATAGATAGATAGATAGATAGATAGATAGATAGATAGATAGATAGATAGATAGATAGATTTGTGTAGCTGTGTTCAAGATCCACAAGAGACATCTTTTCCCAGTCCCATTCATCATGATTTATTCTGCTTCCCACAGGACAGATGCTCGTGGAGTTAATTTGAATCGTCAGTATTTGAACCCTGATGCAGAGTTGCATCCTGCTGTGTATGGGGCCAAGGCTGTCATGCTCTATCACCACGTTCACAGCCGGATGCAGCCAGATTCTCCTGATTGGCGAACCTATGCCTCTCCGCTCAACACAAAAATAGCCAATCAACGTTCTACCCGCAAATGTCCCCATAGTGAAGACATCCCTCTTTCTGAGCTGGAAAAATCAAACAACCTTCGCAACTCTTCCACAGAGTTCTGTATCACCTCATCCCAGGACCTTGAAACCTCAGAGGTACCAGGAAGCAAAGACCATGATGTCTGGATCCTTTCAAAAGAACTGTTATCTGAGCACTGTGAGAATGAAGTTGAGAATCCTCCACCAGCCCCAGAAACCATCTCACCTCAACAGAGTGGTCTGGCTTACTATGTTGATCTGCATGGACATGCCTCTAAGCGTGGCTGTTTCATGTATGGGAACAACATTTCTGATGAGAACTACCAGGTGAGACATATTCAGCCCCTCTAGCAGTGCCTTGGACAACACAGGCAAAATTGGGCTTTTTCAGGAAGAATTCTCTATTGCATAATCCCAAGAACAAGACAGAAAGGATTAGAGGCAGATAAAGAATTGGCTCCTACAAAATGAGTTTAGACTTAAGGATGTTACAGATAGAGATAAAGTGGCTTCAGGGACAAAACAAAGGGGATGTTTTTGTGTATGCCTCTTTTGCTTTTCTCTCTAATTAACTTCTTTGTAGGACTGGGTTTGGAGGGTTACAGCAGGGGTCGCCAACCCATAAAGGTTGGCGACCCAGTGGGAAAGGGAGGGGCAGGCACCTCTATGCACGCATGTGCACACACGCAAATGTGGCTGTGTGTACATGCACACAAATGGAGCTGTGAGCATGCACACTCCGCAAATGGGGCTGCTAGTGCCAGTGCATGGCTCGTGGCTCAGCTAGTGCCGGTGTGCGGCTCGCGGCTGAGCTATTGCTGGCGAGAGGCTCATGGCTCAGCACCGGCACAAGGAGGTGAGCGTGCGCACCTGCACGCGTGCATTGCCAGCCGCTCACGCAGCCCAGTGGCCAGGAGGCTACAGCCCAGTAGTGGGTCACGGCCCATAAGCTGGGGAACAGAATCAATTGAGATTCTCTGACTAAACCAATAAATATTTTCTTCAGCTGCCTTTCAGACCAAAAGATGATGTCAAGTTCCAATGTGTGTTGGTTCTCTTTTATAACTTCCATGCTGATGATGTTGCTTGACCATGACATATAGTCTTCTGAGGATTTCATGTACTGTGTTTGTTTGTTCAATTGTTAAACCTCATCACCATGAATTGCTTTCTCTAGTAGGCTGAATCTCTTTATTACTGTTTTCAGTTTCTTTGGCTAGATTGTTGCTTCCCAGTCTGACGAGAAGTAAAACTGCCTGTTTCTGTAGCATGTCGAAATAAGAGATTTGTGTCTCTAATTTCTCAATTGCTTTTACAGGTTGAAAATATGCTATTTCCTAAGCTCATCTCCTTGAATTCTGCTCATTTTGATTTCACGGGGTGCAACTTTTCGGAGAAGAATATGTATGCTAAAGACAAGCGGGATGGACAATCAAAGGAGGGCAGTGGACGTGTGGCCATTTATAAGGCCTCAGGCATCATTCACAGGTTTGTACTTCAATGAGATACCGCCTCCTGATCGCAATCATTGGTTCTGTAGGTCTCTTCCTTTTCTCCCACTTCCATACCGCCAATATGTACAAAGTTCCTGCCGCCTTAAGAATCTGCTAGATCAAATTGAAGCCAGAGAGAAGAAATTCCCACAAGTAGAGTAACGTTGAGAGCAAGCTCATTGGGGAATCCTGGCAGCATAAATGGTAACTCTAGTGCCATGGAGTGAGTTTCTCAGTGCTAAATAGTTGGCCTCCTGAGGAAGGCTGGGATTTGTATAAACACTAATTTAAGTTCTATCTAACAACATATGGCGGGAATCCATATTTGAGCAGAGGTATATATTATTGCTTAGGATTATCATATGCTGATCCTTTTGGTGCTACCAACATATCTCTTTTTCATCTAGGAATAACATGAGGCCAAGATCTTTTCTTTAGCATTTTGGTTGTTAGTGTTTTCAAACTTGGCAACTTTAAGATTTGTGGAAAATTTCCCTGTAAAGGAGAGTTATAATAGATTGCTACCAGTTAGATTGACTTTTTTGATATATTCTAATTTGTCTACCTGGGGTGTACTTAGTTTTTTCACCTAGGACCTCTCTCTTAGGCTCAGCTCTGAGAAATCCAGAAGACAGAGAATTTAACAAATCTTGCATCAGTGCTAAATTCAAGTGGTAGCTATACAGCACTGTGGTCTGGCAGATGGGAAAAATTAAAGAAAATTTCTTTTTTTAACTTAGTGAAGCCAAATATTTAGTTATAAAAAGATGCTTACTGGAAAAAGAGGAATGCAGAAAAAGAAGATTAAGCAACAACCATGAATGCAATCAATCTAGCTGAATTAGCTTCTAATAACTGCCCAAATCAAAGCTTGGATTTTAACACAATTAAAATTCACTGCAGTTGGAAAAAAATCATTAGGGTCCCTTAAAGGTCTTCTCCTTTTGTTCCTGTTGGTTGAATGCTATTCCAGGTGTATGGAAGATACAATGAAGAGAATTAAAAGAAAGCTGGCTTCTTTGGGGAATCACAATTGGAAGAGATTGCAAAGGTCATACAGTTCAATTCATTGCTCTGTGCAGAGAAATGGATGTTTTTCTTAATCAGAGCAAGCAGAATGTTCCATTTCTGATGTCAAGAATCTAACAGTAAACGATAATATTACTTGATGGCTGAATCTGTCTTTTTACTAACACACAGTTGAATAATAAAAACAAATTATTTTTTCCCAGTCATACTATTGTATGGAAAAGTCTGTATGGGAGAAAAAAATTATGAATTCAGTATATTAAAACCTTTCACCATGGAGTTACCTATCACATGTTTTCAGAATGTGTCATATTAAAAACTAAGAATTAGTTCATAATTTGCCTTAGCACTAGTAACCTTTTCCATCTGTTTTCTAGTTACACACTGGAATGCAATTACAACACAGGAAGATCAGTCAATACTGTTCCAGCAGCATGTCACGATAATGGGCGGGCAACGCCTCCTCCTCTCCCAACATTCCCATCCAAATACACCGTGGAACTGTTTGAGCAGGTATCCCAGCACAGATTCAGTGTTAGATTAAGTCACCATGTTCCAGGACACGTGGCAAAGTAGTCTAAACTTCTACACTAGGAAACATCCTCCTGTCCAGGGAGAAGTGGAAGCAGTATTTGCAAAGAGCCTTCAGGACTATTTATTTAGCCTATATATGCAAGGGGGTGCAATGTATTCACTCTATCTTGCTCAAACCCTAAATACACAGACAACTCTTCGTACCATGATTAATTCAGAGGAAAGCATTTGTAGCCTTTGGATCTTGGGGTTATAAAGTTGGCCAAATGGCAGATTCTTATGTCTCAAAAGTGTTAGGAGTTTCCCAGAACTTCAGCCTTTCAGGGAGCTGTGCTGAGGATGTGTTTTTAGATTTTCTTGCTCTGGCTCTTCAGATTCAGGAGTAAATGTTTGGATACTGTTCTTTCTTGAATGCCAACAAATTGCACATCACAGACTGAAAAGTGCAGCCACATGAAAAATCATTTTATCATAAACTCATTGTGAGGGCTCCTTGAATATGGCAGTTGATGGAACATTGCTCAGATGCTGCTGTAAAATATAAATGATTTCTTTTGATTTACTGCTGCTGTAAAATGTAAAGTGATTTACTTTGGGATTAACCATTCTCAGCCAAGCATAACAATGGCTCAGCAGTTAAAGACACTGAGCTTGGCAGCTGGAAAGCTGACAGTCCAGGTTCGAGACCCTAATGCTCTGTGACAGTGTGTGAGCTCCCATTATCCCCCAGCTCCTGCCACCTTTCAGTTTGAAAGATGTGAATAGATAAATAAGTACCACTCTGATGTAACATCATGCCATGCATCTCGAGTGTATAGTCATACTGGCCACATGGCCATGGAAATGTCTTCGAATAGTGCTGGCTACCTCAGCTAAGAAATGGAGATAAGCACTGCTCGCTTGAGCCGGACATGACTGGAAAGAGGAAACCCTTACCTTAAAATTGGGAAAATTGAACAATATGACGACTTTACCAAGTGGGAAGCTGATTTACAATGAACAGCATAGGAATCATACTATGTTCTACCCAATATGCTGGGTCTTTTCTTCAAGTTTTTTTTCTTTTTTCTTTTGTGCACTCTGAAATATATAAGCCAAACGTGCAGTACACAAAAGAAATTTGGAATCATGCAATTGGGACACAATTTGGTACTGAAAGGACATGCTGGAGATTGGCTGGCCTTATCTTCAGTTTAATTGATGCCAGCAACAGGGTGCCTCAGTATTGTTTTCTTAACTTACTGAACAACATGATATGAGTATAGGAAGCACATCACATATTTTGAGGCCTTTAATAAACCTTATCATCCTTTACTTGTAGGGGTATACGTAGCAATTGTTTAAGGTGGGGGTGTTTCCAGTTTTTGTTAAATGCAGAGTTCCTACTCTAGATTTAAAAACAAGCGGAAAAACACAAGGCCTGAATTTTAACAATCTACTGCCATCCTCCATATACAGGTTGGAAGGGCTTTAGCAATCGCAGCACTGGATATGGCAGAATGCAACCCCTGGCCTCGGATTGTCCTCTCTGAACACAGTTGCCTTAGCAATCTGCGTGCCTGGATGCTGAAACATGTGCGCAGCATGAGAGGAGTGACAGGCTACTCCAAGAGGAAGGGTACCAAAACCCCACCCAAGGGGGGCAAGTACGTGACCAGATGGGGATGTGGGTTCAATGAAATAAGTAAAGCTCATAGGAAAGTGAACTGGAACAGGCAAAGGACTATCTATAGGAATTGAGGATTGGTTTCCACAAATCTTTCCCTGACTTTAGTCCTGGACTGCCGCAGTCTCTTTATTTGCAGCTTTGCTGCATGGAAAGTACATCTGCAGCAAATACCTGGAAAGTTATTATACCAGTGATGGCGAACCTTTTAGAGACCGAGTGCCCAAACCGCAACCCCAAACCCACTTTATTTATTGCAAAGTGCCAGGGCCGCATCAGCATTGTGGTGCCCTCAGGGGGGGCCATGGGGGTGTGGCCCACTGGGTGGGCATGGCTGCGGTTGTCATGGGCAGACTGGGTGGGCGTGGCTGGGGTGGGCATGGCCACCTCAATGTTGCTCATGGGGGGATGCCTGTGGGGGCTGGGCAGGGTTCCGGGAGATCCAGCGGGTCTCTGGCGGGTGGGGCGGTGGGCAGGAGGCCCAGCATAGATGGAGGAGAGGCACGCAATTCTAGCTGGGACTGGGGGGCCATGGCGCCAATGGGGATCCGGCTTTCCCTGCTTGGGGTGGGCTTTGGCTTGCTGGGTGTGGGTGTGCTCTACCACCTATCCTTGAGCTTGCTAGCTGGCTGCTTCACCTCCTTTGTGCCTGGTGGGGCTGCCACTCTGGGCAGCGGTGGTGGCCTAATGGACTTGCGCAAGCTGCTGGCAGTGGTGGTGTGCGTGTCCACTGAGAGGGCTCTGAGTGCTGCCTCTGGCATACGTGCCATAGGTTCGCCACCACTGTATTATACCCTTCCCTTGCCTTACATTCAATTGTCCTAATAATGGAATAGAATCTTTCTACCTGTAGATTATTTTGTCCCAAAGTTTTTTTAAAAAATAATCTTTGAGAGAAGATGTGTTTGTGGTATTTGAAATTGCACATATTACCTTGCAGTTCCAATCCTTCTTATGACTGGAAGGAGAGTAGAAGAAAGGCTAATATTCTAAAAAGGGAACCTGAGAAGTTAAATGATAAACCTGAAATCCCCACTAATTTATATTCAATCTGAAAGAATGCCGCCTCCTCTAACTTAATAGTTCTATTGAGATTTCAGAGGAAAGGGCCTAGAACAAAGAAATGGTACTTTGTTCTAGTACTGTTTTCTCTTATATTGTTTTATATGATCTGCATTATTCTCTTCTAATACCTGAACTGGAGAGAACACTGCAATATAGTTTTTAGCAATAAAATGATTGGCAGTACATTTAAGAAACACGGCAAATTTATCCTATGTTAACAGATAATGTTGCTTTGTATTTTGCTTTGTATCTGATTCCCTTTTGACTCCTGGACAAGTCCCTGAACTTTATTGGAAGTGATTTGTCCTTGCCTTTTTCTAGGACTGAGATTGAGTGACTACTCCAGTTACCCCAGCTATAACTACATAACAAACTAGCTATCACTGTATATTTATTTTATTTTATTTTAGGTTTAGCTTTTTTCATACCCATTCTTCCCTGAATTAAGAGATTACAGAGTTGTAAAAAAAAAAAAACTCAAGATGATGAACATATTTAATATTCCTTCCACCTCCTATTTTCCCCACAACACTCTGTGAGATGAGTTGGGCTGAGAGAATTTATTTTATGTTTTTTTTTTCAGGTTTATATGTCTGACCATCTTAAAAAAATTCTGGGCAGCTTATAATAACACTATAAGAATATATAAAAACTAAAAACCAAAAATCAACCTCCCAGGGTGCCGTAACAACTCTCCTTACTCACTCTAGCCCAGTGCCTGGGTAAGGAGCCAGGTTTAAAGAAAAAGGAGGTGAGCAGGAGAGGAATAGACTAACAGTTACCGTTGTATATGGGAACTCAGACACTGTGCTTAAGCACCATGCAAAAGGTTTCAGAAGGACTACTTTAGAATAAGTCTTTATATCTCAGATGCAAAAAATAACTCTTGCAGGGGCATTGTGGAAAGAGCTGCTTCGTCTCTGATTCTTTTTTTATATATATATTTTCTCCCAGTGGGATTTCTGCTTCCAGCTCAGAGAATTCTCTCTGCCGAGCCAGGAGCTTCAGTAATGGTAGTGTCAATCAACAAGCTACCCCTCATGTCAAGACCTCACCCAGCTTCACCTTCAGCTCCTCTCACACCCCCGCCTCCTCGGGGGGCTTGGGGCAGAGCCCTCGGAAAGGTGCCTCAAGGGTGCTGGCCCTTGTGCGAGGTAAGCTGCCTAACGAATCTGTGCTGGGAGCATTCAGATGGATCTGGGAATGGATGTGCTGTGGAAAGAGGCAGCCTTAAAAGAACATTATTTCTTCTTAATTTTTCTCATGAAATAAACACGTACAAGAATCTTGCACAAGTTTCCCCTGTGTCAATCCAAGCCCCCTTTTTCCTTTCACGTGATACTTGCATATAGCACTGGATAGAGATGTCACTTGATAAGTTGTGAACTACTGCCTCATGGGACAGCTGCAGGAAAATGGCCTCCTCTAGCAATATGTTGGGTACTTTGAAAAAGGTTATGGAGCCTCCTCTTTTCAACCTCTCATGAGATATACTCTGTTCCAACCCTTCAGGCTGTTGTTTTGTATTAATTGATTTCACCCTACTGAGAAACTTTAGGTTAGTGTCTATGCCAGTGATGGTGAACCTTTTAGAGACCGAGTGCCCCAAAACTGCCCTGCCCCACCCACCCCACCCCCAGCCCTGCTCGCCTACAGGGCCACCCACCTCCACGGTCCACCACAGATCGCCCAGGTGACCCAGCAGCACCATGGTGGCCACGCCCTCCGCTCACACCCCAAGCATCATCTGCGCATGATGGGGCACAAGGGTGAAGTCTTGTCCCCGCTGCCCAGCTGCCATGTCCTTGGCTGCACTGTTCCACGTGGGCCGCACCCTGGGGCGACTCTCCTTCAGGGAGGCTACTGGTGAGGGGGCTGCAGGGAGAGGCAGAGCTGGGGGGGACGGTGCGTGTGCCCACAGAGAGGGCTCTGAATGCAGCCTCTGGCACGCATGCCATAGGTTTGCCACTACTGGTCTATGCCAATTAATTTTGTCCCCAGTATAACATATTAAACTAATAAGGGATAAAGTTCATAAAGCAAGGATCTGAATCTGAATTCTTCAGCTCTAAAGCCCAACCTAATATATATAATGAGGGGGTAGCAAACTATCATACTAGAAAAATCTCCCCTTATATATAAGGTATACCAGGTAAGATCTAAGGTGACCCAGTCAGTGGATGAATGATGATGATCTTTTCTCTTGGGTGAAAACAAATATTTGAGTATATAAAGTAACATTATTCTGCCTGGCATTGACAAACAATATAACTATAGATAATTTTGGTTTAGTATATTAAATGAACTCAGAAGATGGGTTACTTTGATAACAGTGTTGAGTATGTTGTGTAAATATATCATTGTATCACTTAAACTCTGTATTGGTAAAGCTTAGAGAGGACAAATACTCAGCAATTCTCCTACTTTCTTGGCATCTTTACTTGCTACTGCTGCAAAAGAAAAAAATGTCAACATTTGTCAAGTGTTAACGAGGAAGGAATCAGTGAATGCAGGGAATCTTGTGTTTTGTGTTGCTCAGCAAATGTGTCTGTATTTTCTGTAACTGGCTCCCTTCCCCAAGCAACACCCTGCTGACTTTGTAATGTAGAATGAAGATGGCCCCCAGACTCAAGAGCCTGCAGCACAATATAAGCACCAATCTCCGCATGTGGTGGAGGGCAGAAGAAATTGGCATCCTTGCAAGGATGAAATAATGTCAGCTTTTCTGAAACTTGAGCTTTCCAGTAATACCTTGGGTCATTCTGCCTTGTTCCTGAAAAGACCAGTTCAGCCTGTCCAAATCTTGTACATTTGTCTGGGCATGTGCCCATAACACACACACACACACACACACACACACACACACACACACACACATTGCAGGTATATTTTCCATGGATGCAGTAGCACTAAGTATGCAATACAATTCTCCATTTTGTCACAGTGTAATAGTCTATAGGAAGGGTCCACAACTCCCAGGCCACGGACCAGTACCAGTCAGCGGCATGTTAGAAATTGGGCCACACAAGCAGTGGGTGAGCAAGCGAAGCTTCATCTATGCATGCTTGGGATCAAAATTGCATACAAAATCACCACTACCCGGTCTATGGAAAAATTGTCTTCCACGAAACCAGTTCCTGGTTCCAGAAAAGTTGAGGACCTCTGGTCTATAGCAATACACTCTGAAACTATGAAATTGGACTTAGTTGAAAAGAAGATAACAAAGGTCTCTTGCTATGCTACTGTCGATAAGCTTCTTTCACTGAGGGATGATGCATAGTTAATTTCTGTAAAGGAATAAGTAGAACTTAAGGGATAGTGATACCAAGACCTTTCAGAGCTGGCATTTTGCTTGTCCCTCATCCTACTTAGAACCTCGAGTTCAGGAGAAGAGGCGCCATCAGCACCAGACCTTGCTACGAGCTGCTGTGAGCAGCATCCAGGCACCCTCTCTCCCTTGTTCCACCAGAAACACTTCTCATCTCCAGCTGGCTCCCAGCCTAGGTTCCTGCTCCCTTCCAACTACTATCAACATACCAGGTTTGTATGCCACTTTGCCTCTATCCCTTTGCCAGAGTGCCTCTACAACAGAAATTAAATGGACTATTGGAGTGTGCCAGCAGGAAAGATATAAGTGATGTAACAGGTGTAACAGGTCACCTGTCACCTGTTGACCTGTTCCTTCCTGATGTCAGTTGCACCTATATTACCTGAGTAATTAAGTGTAACCATAGCCATTCAACTCACAGTAGGCTGCAGCATGAAAATTCAGGGAGTTTCTTCTTTCCCTGAACTAATCTCTAACTATCCTTTTTGTTTCTTGCAAGGTTGATTGGAAAAAAAGTTTACTGATACTAAACATAATTGGGGGATGAGAGAGATGTTTGACACTGAAGTTGGAGCAGTGCAGACCATTCTATTTACAGGGGCCTATTCATTTTCTTCCCATCCACCCACTCAAGCTGTTCCAATCAAAAAAAAAAAAAAAATTCAGATAGAGAAGGCTATTATTCTTGAGCAGAACTGGAACAACATCACTGTGATCTTAATGGTGGGTAAAAAGCAGCATGACTTAAAAAAGTTCCCTATATGCTGCCAGGACAGTTTACTTATTCAGCTTACTCTATATCAGTGATGGCGAACCTTTTAGAGACTGAGTGCCCAAACTGCAACCCAAAACCCATTTATGCATCGTCGAGTGCTGGGTGGGTGTGGCCCATTAGGTGGGCGTCGCTGCGGTGGTAATGGCAGACTGAGTGGGACTAAAACATTCAATCAATCAATTCCAACTTTGCAAGATCTTTTTTTTTCCATGAGAAGTTGAAATTGATTGATTGAGCTTTTTTTTTTTTTTTGCACACGGCAGTGGAGGCCTAAAGCGAAAAGGTTTTATAAAACCCAGCTGAAGGCCTAGGACTGGGGTGACGGCACGCGTGCCGACAGAGGGCTCTGAGTGCCACCTCTGGCACCCGTGCCATAGGTTCGCCACCACTGCTCTATATCATTTGGAAAAAATGTTAGGCTTTCTCAAATAGGTTTTTACCTTTACAACTCAACTCAAAATGAGTAATATATATATTTAAATTCAATAGCTCAAACAATTAAAAGTCTTGGAAGGGAAGGAAGAAATGGAGGCAAAGAAGATTTGTTTGAGCCAAATCTGTATCAGCTTACAGTCTTAGGTGGCAGTAATATATAAACAAACCAGCAAATTGTGTCCATTCAGTGATGGAGATATGATAAGCTATACCAAGGACTCAGCAATTTGAGAAAAAGAAACAAGCAAATGGGTCTCTGTTCTTTAAAATACAACATTGAACTTTTGCATTTATTCTGGTTTGACTGAAAATAAGAATTATTCAAATATGCTTCTGTCTTCAAGCTTTCTAAGGATACCATCTAGAAACTGACTCTTTTTTTCACTGTTCACTAAGGAAGATACAGCCTCTCCCAATTTCTTGCCTCCATATGTATAGGCATGGTCACATTTGAAAAATATAGATTGTATTTTATTTGCAGATAAAAGAAATATAAAATCATCACCTGAACAGAATCAAACATCTGTGAAATCCAGTAAAATGGTCTAGATTTTTTATATATTTTGCTTTGTAATATTCATTGGCTGTGTTTATGATACTGTCCCACAACTTAAACTAATTTATTCAATTTACTCAATTTTCTTTGTTTGCTCAACACATCAAACTATAAATTAATTATATAAGCAGAAATTACATAACATGCCAGTTTAAATAGCCTCTTACTAGTTTGCAGTTCCATGATGTTCGCCTTGATGGAACTAATGTGTTGGAAGTGAGCAGCTGTCCGGATTTCAGCAGGTCTCTATGAAAACTCATCACAGTCCCTTTCGATCTTGACTGAAATCACTGCCCCAAACAATACAGCCAAGCCAATGTTATCCTGAGGGATCTGATATAACAAACTTCCATGTTTCTGTTAGGGATATCATTCTGACACTCCTAAGTATTATTGATCTCATAGCTCCAAACAGGCCAAACAGAAGCAAAATGTGCCGGAGTTTTGGTATTAGTATTGCTTTTTCTGCAACTGATTGCCAATCAAATCGCAACTAAGAATTAGAGTCTGGGGAGTTCAGCTTAATGAACTTCCCTCATTTACCTTTCTTTCATTGATCATGCAGGACCCAGCTGCAACAGTCTACGTACAGCTGCTAAGGCTAGCACTGAGCATGTCCCTGAGAAGCTGAAGCCTCCACCTTGTGGCCTAGCATTGCTACAGGTAAAGGGCAGTGATTACATTGGTAAACAGAGCTCGATTGCCATGAGTAGATACTATTCCCCTAGGCTGCTAGTCTGATTAGGGCTTTCCTTGCCGTAGAGATCAATCACTGGGCTGTTAAAGAGTTGCCTGCATTACCAAACTTTAAGAACACATTGTAAGACCCCTCTAGCACAGTGATTTCTTATCATCAATATCAGCTGAACCAATACTATGGTAGCATTGGACATACAAGCTTTACATGCAATTCATGTCTTGCCGATACTGTCCCAACTGGTTTCTCTTTCTCCATGCAGAACTTTTCAAGACGGCTGAACAATGAAAAACTATCAGAAACTACTAGGTAATAGCAACTAGAAGATTAAAAAAATAGTAGTTTTATAAACTACTAGAAATCTGTACGATTTCCCCTTTTGTGCCTACCAACATGGAAGGACCAAGTTTGGAAGAGCTTCATATTAGTCATCTGTAAGCTAGAAAACACTATTCTAGAAATTGTGCATATACTTAGTGTTGTCCAGCATTCCCTTAGGATTTCTAAGGTTCCTTATTACTGGTTGACTATGATGCACAACTTTCAACGAAGTATTTTTCTTGCAGTTTAGATATACTGATGCCTCGGCCAAGCCGGATCCCCATACGCAGGAGACCAGTAGGACAAACCCAGCACTTACTCAGATTTCATAGCTGCAGTGATGACTCTTCCCTCAAGGTGTGGAAATATGCACCCCCAGAGATACCAACACAAAGTTCCTTGCCAGGTAGGTTCTTGCAAGGCATTCTATATTGTGACCAAGACTGTTTGTTCTTTTTGGACAGTCCCTCAGATTTTCCATACTACATAGTGGCAACAGATACAACCTTGTTTCTCTCCCTACAGAATTTCAACTGGAAATGCCAGTAACGAGTCAGAGGGAAGAATCACTTTTTATGTGCAACCCTCCCAAAGTTTTGCTGGACGAGGTATGGGGAGGAGGGAGCTCTGCAAAGCCAGCTGCTGCTGCAGCCCTTACCTGCAGCCGCTGCCATCCCCTTGAACCCTTGTCTTGTAGACAGAAGAAGAAGAAGCAACGCCTTTACCGTTGTATAGGCAGTAGCCACCCTCCTTATTGAAACTTTGGGGCAGCATAGCTGCAGTTGACATCATTAGTCCCCTGAGCCAGCTCTCTCTGTTGCAGCATCTCCCTGGGCGACCAGATTCCCCCCAACTCACCTACCGCAAGATCCTGTCTTTCTGCACTGAGGCCTGACTTGCCAGTGGAGGCACAACAGCTGTAGCCCATGTGCTCTAGCACCTCAAGTGCCACCACCCCACAGCATGCCAGCTGACTCCAACTCATTCCTTGGTGTGGAGGAAACCTCTTGAGATCCTTCTTGTTGGTACTTGATGAGTTCGTGATTCAATCACCCCCTTCCTCTCCTCTTTCCTCTTTTAAATCAAAGCTGCTTTTTAGAGCAGCAGCCAGTAGTTCTGGCTTTGAGACTTTGCCAGGAATAAGGGCCTCAAATCACATCTTTTTTTGTAGCCAGCTACACAAGACATTGAAGGCTTAAGGGAAAATGGGCCCCTGACTGTTTCCCAGCAATCCTCATTTAAATCTGGGAATCCATCTAATTTGTTTTTTGTGAAGGAGGTGCCTTTGAAAAAAGAAGCAAACCAGGCTAATTGCAAGAAGCTGTGCAGGTGCACGTATGACACATGGAAAGCATAACATGATCAGCTCCTCCTGGTCTGACTACAGCTAGTGCCGTGGCCAAGACCCTTCCTCCAATGTTATTTCCACCACTGTACATAATTGGTTACTAGGTTGGAAGCTATTTTTGAAACAAGTTTGTCTTATAACATGTTTCTATAAATAAATTGCATTTGTCAGAAAAACAAAAGAAAATCTACTGCCTTTTGATGTGTGTGTGTGTGTGTTGTATATAAGAGAGACTGATAGTTAGAATCTGCTTTGGGAAGTGATGCAAAGGTAACAAGTCTCTGATACAGAAAATGAAGTGTATTCTCTAGTCATTTATTATCTTCAGGGTTTCAACAAAGCCAAAGTACAGCTATAGCATCTGGGCCTTCATGTGCTGATGGCTCTGCATTCTGTCAAAAGAAAAGGAGGGGTGGGTGTGAGATAACCACTGCATCTGGATCCGGGGTCGGGTGGACGGGGAAAAAGTGCAGCTGAATTACCTTTGGGGATGGGGGTAAGGAGGGGACGCTCCGGTCATTCGCTCACTCCTGCTTCTTCGGATTGTTGACGGCCACGTAGTGATAAAGGACGACCAGGAGAAACAGCGAGACTCCAAGCATATTGGCAAAGATAGCCAGTTGCACGTCCGTCACCATCCTGCCGGAGAAAAGCCGAGAGATTAGTCCGCCACGGCCAGCACTTTGGCCGCCGGAAGGCTTGGAAGGGCCAGAAGGGACGATGGGCCCTAGGAATCCCTCAGCGGCGCTCGCAAGTGAGCCGAGGAGAAAGAGACGTGGCAAGGCCGATTCGACTGGAGCCAACGCCACTCACCTCTCGGTTTGGGCAGTCTCCCCACTGTCCCTCTTGTCTCTTCCGAAGGCTCAGGCCGGCGACGTCAAGGAACGCCGCTCTTTCCTTCCGCTCTCTAGAAAAACTGCGGGGAAAGGGGGAACGGAACCCACCGAGTTCCGGAAGTACTGAAGAGACTCCGCTTTCTGTCGTGTCCTCGCGCACCGCCCTCGGCGCAGGGAGTCGAATTGCGCCTGGACCGCGTGACCTGGCGCCCCCCGGCGGCTGAACGGGAAAGCGTGCCCGCTCCCCCCTCCCCAGGCCGTCTTATATGTGAGCCCCGCTGGTGTCTCTCCGTGACGCCCTCTCTCCAATCCTTCAAATGTGTCAAATGAAAATGCAACAGGCGCGTTTAAATTTATCTTTAAAAGGTGTATTATTTAGGTAAGATATTTATATATTCCGGGCGGCTTACACAAATCAGCCAACCAGCCAATTCAAAATAAAAGGGAATTCTGGGAATTGAAGTCCACACATTTAAAAGTTTGCCCAGGTCCTCCTCCTATATAGAATCTATAATACTGGCTGTCTGTCCTAACTTGAGAAGGAAAATTAAAATGGGCGACTATGGGGGAAAAAGATTTCAATTTTATCTGCAAGTCTTTATAAAAGAGTGGGAAACCAAAGCCAAAGTGATATGTTTCATTAGCATAGAAAAGCTGGGTGGTTCAGATTTTCCACAGAACTATAGGTGATTGAAACTGCTTCTGGTACTAATGAGTTAATTGTTCTTTCCCTGGGGTCCCCCTGAAGGATGCTAGATGTAGGCTGTAGATATAACTCTTGGGTTATATTCCAGCATCCCAGCACAGTTTAGGAAACAAAGATTATGCTAGTTCTACAGTATTCTTTGGAACTACTGTAGAAAAAAATAGCTTGAAGGGTTTATTTCAAATTCACAGTATATTGTAGGTATGCTGTATTCCCTGAAAAGTGGGGAAATGTATTCTGGTTTATGAGAAATTAAGACACCATATACTACATGAGAGGAAAACAAGACTGCAGCATTTTCCAAGACAGGAAAAAGGGAACCTACAATAGTGAACCACAAGATGGGGCTGCCATTACACACAAAGATTTCAGTATAGGCTATAAGTTTATTTTGATGAATTTACTAAGAAAACAAAATGAGCATTAAAGTACTCTGTGATATGTTATTTTGTGTAATAAAACACGGTAACATGATAGCACTGTTCCAATATTTGAAGGCTGCCACAAGGAAGAGAAGCCAACCTATTCTCCAAAACACCTGAAGGCAGGATAAGAAGCAATGGATGGAAACTAATCAAGGAGAGAAGCAACCTGGAATTAAGGAGAAATTTCCTGATAGCAAAAACAATTGAACAGTGGAATGACTTGCCTCCAGAAGTTGTGAGTGCTCCAACACAGGAAGTTTTTAAGATGAGATTGGACAACCATTTGTCTGAAATGGTAAAGGGTTGAGCAAGGGGTTGGTCTAGAACAAGAGTGTCAACTGTCGGCCCATGGGCCAGTTTCATCATACTGAAGCCATGCCCACCCCATTGCCGGCAATGCAATAAGAGTTGTGATAGATTGTGACACGTCACGTGATGTGGCGAGTTTGACACCCATGGTCTAGAAGACCTCCAAGATCCCTTCCAGGTCTGTTATTCTGTTATGACCACAGGAACATTGAAACAGTCACAACTTCTTGAATAAAATTGGTCAGGACATCATGGACATTTCAATTCCACAGAAGTTATGGGTCCTGGATTTTTTACACATTCTTTAAATTAAGAGATTTCAGATACCTTGATTCTAAAATTGTTGCATTATAATATACTGTTTTGGCTGACAGTACCAACAGATAAACACAGAATTTTAGTAGTATATAGTAGAACTGGTAAAAGAAGTTGTGTGCACTTGTTTTAAGAAAACAAATAAACTGAAGCCTTGAAATTATTCTAAGCTATTCGTAAATAATTATTCAAGCCTACATTCCTAAAAGTTAACTCAGATTAGGTGGTAAGAAGCATCTTAAAGTTGAAAAATGGAGGTTAATTTAATTAATGGTGGTTAATTTCCAATTGAGTGTATCCGGTTTAGAACAAGCACACATGCCACTCAGAGAAGCTGGCAAAAAGAAAATGTGATGTTTATTAAACTTCAGAAAAGATCAGAATAGCTGACTAGCAAAAATGCAATAAAATATAGGCAAAAAAGAGGGGAGAAAAACAAACAACAGGCAATAGTTTGCATTAGTGTTTTTCAAATTTTATTATTTGTTTGTTTGTATCCCATCTTTATTATGTTTTACAAATAACTCAGGGTGGTGAACCTAAGCAACACACCTTCCACCTCCTTCTATTTGCCCCACAACAGCAACCTAGTGAGTTGACTTGGGCTGAGAGGGACTGGCCCGAGGTCACATAGCTGGCTTTCATGGCTAAGGTGGGACTCTAAGTTGCTAAATTAAATTAATCATTTCACACCATTGAATATCTTTTTTTCCTCTCAAAAAAGAACACAAGCACTATAAAAACAAATAAAAATTCTGCTGAAACCATAAAAAAATCAACAGAAATGGAGCTAAGCAGATATTAAATCAGTAAAGTCCTTCCAGTATAAAGGGACAATCTAAAGTAGCCACATCTAAATAGTGAAATCTAGATGATCACTGGATTACACCAAAAAGAACTTTCTAAATTTCTAGATTTCTTTACTATTATTTTGTGGTCATAATAATACCAAGAACACTTTATGTCAATTTCTTGATACTCCAAATGGTCTTTCTTCTAGTTTGTTCTGGAAGATAGAAAAGTGGTTTCCAATGTTTTATGGAGTTGGTAGAAATTTAGGTTTTATCAAGGATAGGATGAGTTTGGGTTCCTGGAGCTCCAGCTACAAGGAGGAATAAACCTTGGAATATTTTCTTACATTACTCTGTTCTATCATTGGACTCTGAGCCTTCCTGCCTTTTGGAATCTGAGCATAGAGAAACTCTGCTAAGCCTCTGGATTTTGCTCTCACTTCTTTCTGTGGACTGTAGGGCCTCTTCTCCATGTAAACTTGTCAAAAGTAAGCAAACTGCAGCTGTTAGCACAGGCTCCAATTGTGAATTATTATTTTTTGTACTTTATGGGATGTGATTGTGTCAGACACAAGTATGGTAATGAATGCACTGTGTACATTTGTGTGCAACATCCAGATTTATCCATGGACTTCAACCTTCAAGTGGTATTATGCAATCTGAAAGTTAAAGTCCATGGATAAATTTGGATTTTGGGCATAAATGAACAGCATATATTTCAACTGTTCTAACAATCACACAGTGTTTCTAAGCAAAACATGTTAATTTGAAGATCAGTATACTTGGTAGTTAATTCAAAGTGTTTCGACCTTTAAAGCAGGGGTCCCCAAACCCCGGTCCATGGATTGGCACCAGGCTGCGGCATGCCAGAAACCAGGCCGTGCAAACAAGTGAAGCCCCATCCACGGGATGCAGGCAGCACACAAAACCACGCCCCCTCTGGTCCATGGAAAAATCTCTCTCCACAGAACCGGTTTCTGGTGCCCAAAAGGTTGGGGGCTACTGCTTTAAAACCCTAAATAGGATGAGGTTACTTAATGAGTGCCTCCTCCTGAATGTACCTACCCAGACCTTAGGATCTTCTAATCTTCCAGATCCCCCCCCCCCAAAGGAAGTGAGGTGTTAAGAAAAATACTTTAAAACTCAGATGAGTCCAAGTTAGAGAAATACTTTTCTTACTAGATACGTTTAGGATTAGTATTTGAAGATAAGACCATGTAGATTTTATGTAGACATCATGGACAATAATTGTTGATAGGCTGAATTTTCACAATATATTTAAGGCCGCTATTGAATTAGCATGTTTTCTGGGCTTGGATAATACATTGAAAGTTCAGTGACTTTTTGATAAGTCTCCATCCATTACTAAAGCCCTCAACTGCTTTAGATAATAAGGTCTGCCCCCTTCCCCCATACATTGTACCATAACTAAACAATAAACACAACTGCTAGGTCACTATTAAAAATTAGTCACTCTTAGTTTCTACGTACACCGTTAAAAAATTTATTGAGCTAAGTACAATATAGGAACATGGGTACTGATTTCCTTTTCTAGCAATCTGTATGAACATTTTTTAAAAAAACATCAGAGATAATCCTCACATATATCTGTGTCAGAGTAGACAAAGCAGTACACCAAAACTAACAAAGGTTTCTTTTTTACATGACTTCTATTGCACAAAAATGTGCCTTAATTCCCCTAAATAAGGAATTTTGCTGCCATCTAATCCAATATTCCAACAGGAAAAATGAATGGATATTCATAACACAGATAATGTCACTGTAATCCTGTAAAATGAAACACTTTCCTCCCCTCCCCCCTCCAGGATAGAAAGTTTCTATTGAGCTACTGGGAATGAGCAGAGGACAACACTGTGTTTATGATGTGGCTGGATTGAAGTCAAAAAAGGATGACTAGCTGCTGACGTGGCCATTGGCAAAAGGAAAATCCAGTGTTGCAGTACAATATATATAAATACATATGTCAGCATGCGTGGGCGCACACATACACACGATTGGTTTGTGGAATATCAGAACTATCCAGGCAACTTTGATGTGGTCAGAGAAAAGAATGACAAGAATGAAAATTGACACTCCGAGAATAGGTAAACTGAATGGACTGGACTAAGTCACTTCACATCAGAGGAGCATCATTTCCTCCACTTTGATCAAGAAAATAAGACAAAATGGGAAAACCATAATTAAGCCTGTGAGGCTTCTTTATTTTCCAAGAACATGCTGGAAGATAACTGTACAAAATTTTATTGTAGCACACACCTTTTTTGGGTTAATTCCACCCTCCTAGGCTTTGCAAGTTGATGTAACCATATAAATACATCTTTGATGATCAGTCTTTCAATAAAAGTCTTAAAGATCTTGTGCTTGTTGAGATTAGGTGCTGCCTCCTCTTGATTGTTCCTCTTCAGGTTGCTCCAAGCTTCAGGGCCACTTCTAAGCTAATCTTCAGGCAAGAATCACATCATCATGGGCTGCCTCCTTGGCAGTTGAAGTCCTTGCCTGTAATAGTTATGCATTCCCAGATGTCATTTCCCATTTCCTTGGCTGTTGCTTGTGTTCTTCTCTTTTGCACACCTAGGCTATATTAGGCTAC